ACTTAGTGTCAAGGTGGCTGTGCATCAAGGTGATTACAGTGGTTGGCTTGCGGCAGAATATTTGAAGAACTTAAAAAAACATAATCTAAAATTGATAGAGTAGAAGAAAATTCCCTGAAGAGCTCTCAAGTTTGAATAATAAGAGCCAAAAGGGAGAACTTGATTTATCAGAAAGATATGAAAACATATAAAAATTCAAAGCCACTGATGGTTCTTGTGAAGAAATTGGTGATTAGACATATGGAAGGAAGAGGGGAGCTGAAAACAGGCCCCTACACATGGAGGCAGGATGTATAACAGCGCAACAGACAAATGGGCAAAGAACAGATTGTTCAATAAACAGTCCTGGAAAACCTTGCTCACTTAATGAAAAATGTTGGATCCTCACTTTTTACCCTGTACATATGTGATCCTTACTTAGATCTAGAAGCTAAATTTGAAAAGTGAAGAAACTATAAAGCTAATAGGAGAAACTGTTGAAAGATACCTTTTCTATTTGGAGATAGACAAGAACTTCTTAAATGAGAGCCTCAAAATCTCTCTCGTAAGGGAGAAAAATAAATGCATTTGATGACATCAAAATTAAAGATTTTGTTAAATGGGCTTCATAGATGACATTAATAAATAGACGATAGATCAGGAAGTATCTTTTACGATGTCAAAAATTATTTGGACAATGGGAAACATGCTATATGAACCCCAAATTACACATCGGTGTTAAATAAATGTTAAATTTATTGAATGGGGGAATTGTATTATGGTTTAAGTAGGAGAATGTCCTTGGTCTTAAGAAATTTACACTGAAATATTTAGTGCTGAAGTATCTGAATGTCAGCAATTTACCTGCAAATATTTCATCAAGATATTTTTATCCATCAGTTTCTATACTTACATCATAGAAAGAAAGAAATAAGCAGATGTGGAACAATAATATTAACAATTGGTACATCTACTATGTCACGTGACTTTTTTGTTAGTTTGAAATTTTCCAAAATAAAGAGTTGGAGAAAATGACAATAAAGTAATATTTGGAATACACATGGAACTCTTGAAAATCAACAATCAAAAAGATCAAGAACAATTTAGAAAAATAACTGTAGTAAGTACATGAAGAAATTCTCAAATTCACTGGCAATCACCACAAGGAAAAATTAAAACAGAAATGAGATACACATCACACCCATTGGGATGACAAAATTGGAAAGCCAGATCATGCCAAATGTTGGGGAGGCCATGGGGAACCAGGAACCATTACTATGGTAATACAGCAGTCTTAGTGAGCAATCTGGCAGTGCAGAATGAAACTGGGCATACATGCACCCTAGGACCAAGCCGTCTGCCCTTGGATGCCAGGGATCCTCACTGGGACACACATACCAAGATGTTCATCACAGCACTGCTCATCTTTGGGAGGTCGCAAAGTCGCCCAGAGCCTATCACCAGGGGATTGGATCAGGCAAATGGGGTAGATACCTACTAGTGGGGGTCCACTTCCTACTCAAGCCTTATTAGAACAAGAAGATGGAACTTCAGCAAGACTGCAGAGAGATAGGCACGGAGCAGAATACAGGCACCCTTTGGGAGGATTCAGGAATCAGGGCTCTGGAATTAGTTTGAGTTGAGGAAAATAAATTTATTGCATGTTTAAATGTATGAGTAGAGATTTCTTCATGCTACATTGTCATTAACAGCTATTGGGCTCCCTATCCCCCCAGGAACCAAATGAAAGATTTATCCCAAAGGATTGGATCTATAGCAGAGGAATTTTAGGCGAAGGATAGTCTAATGAGGTTTTTACATTGGGAAGGGGTGCTGGGGAGTCCAGTGGTGCTGCCCGTAGGAGATTTTATGCATGACCTAAAAAAGATTTCCAGAGATCCTGAAACTTCTTTTTCTTAAGAGAAAAGTATAACTGTGTCCTAAAAATAAGTACCTACTGTTTTGATGGATGCTAGCAAGGCCCAGCATATGTGGAGGTCTTTCCAGGGAAGAAAAATAAATATGTGTTCATTTCCTGTGTAGAGAAAAATCCCTCAAATTTTTAAAGATTAATGTGTTAGTTCTTGTTGCAGGTGTGGGTTGCTATCTTTTAGCCCTCAAAGGAAACTAAATTCCAATGCTTTTGTTCCTCTTGATGTAAAGAGGCTGACATTGAACTTCCTATAACTAAAGAAGTTTTCACTCTTGAGCATCGAAGGAGTCTCTGCTTATTGAATTTATACTGGGACAAAACTTTGGGAAGAAAACTCTTCTGAGCAGTAAGCATCTTTTGAGAATAACCTGTTCTGACCCCTCTGGGCTCCTAGGAAGAAGGCCAGGGTGGGAAGGAGGAACACACTTGGGATTGAGTGACTACCATGTATCAGGGGGCCAGGCTAGGCATCCTACATGGTCTGTTTTTTTTTTCACACTTCCCCTCTTGAAGCAAACATGACCCCCGCCCAGCTCACAGATGAGAGAATTGAGGTCCAGAGGGATTATAGCAGCTTGACCAAGGTCACACAGCTGGTTCATAGGCATGCCAGGATTTCATCTCCAGCAGGAATTTCTACCACACTGGGCTGAGACACTCAAATAAAAGCTGAAAAGTCTTTGGAAGCTTTATCATAGGCCTCAATAGAGCTGTAGCTAATGGATTTAAACTCATCTTAAAGGTGTCCCCTATCCTTCTTAAGATGCTCTGGCACCCTGAAGCAGTCAGCAGAAAATAGCTGCAGGAATAATTACTGTTCCAAATTGAGTCTGTCAATTTCAGGTCATTTTGATCTTCATTTTATGTGCAGACTTTATTAATACCCCAACTTCAGGTTCAAAATGTCATGTTTACCGACAAAGGTCGGGGGAAGTCCCCTGTAGCCACTGGGGCCCTCACAGAGTGAGGCTCGGCTGCCAAGGGACACTTAGCAATTCCTCAAAGAGATGACGCAGGAGGAGATGCAGTCTGGCTTCCAAGCCCTTAAGAGCCTGTGATTTTGAGTCTGTTTGCCTCTAACCTTTCAAAATTCCTGCTCTGCAGGGAGGAAGAGACATCAACTGGAGATCAAGGTTGATGAAAAGTTGAATATTCAAACTGACATTCACGGAGAATGATGAGGGAGGGAGCTTAAATAGCATAACAGGCTATTCTCCTGGAAGAAAATGTCAGGCAGGCTAGTATTTTTCTTGGGCTTTCTTTGTTCATTCCCTCCACCTGCCCCCGGCCCTGACTCACCCTCCCCCCCACTTACATTTTGGCTCATTGAAACTTCAGGAGAGTCACCAAACAGACAGGAAAAAAAGGAAATTAGGATGGTTCCAAAGCCTTGGTTTTCAGACACTAATAAATTAGGTGAGTGATGAGACATTGGTGAAAACCTGAAAGGGGCCAATTTAAAGCGATTCTTCCTGCCTGAGTCAGTACAGGCTTTGGTGGAGTTGCAGATCACGGTGGGGAATCTCTTGGGTTCTGTGTGCTCTGGGTTCTAGCTTTTGGGGATGGAGAGGTGAAATCTGATCTTAAAATGCATTCGGTATAATCAGGTCCAACAGAATCCTTCTGCTTCCAGAGGAGATGTTTGTTTCAAACAGACCAGCTTTGTAAGAATGTTGCTGAAAACCCCGACTGTCCTATCAGGAAACAATAAGTCTGCGTGCAGTTAGGCCGTGGCTCACGGGGCTTTGCCAATGAAGTCGGATCCTGTGTGACTATGGGGCCCTGCTTTGGGTTTTTTCTCGGAAGTGGCAAATGACTCACACGCTATGGCGTCGTTATTTGCAGGAGGTTGAAGAGGTGTCATATAGAGGGTTCTCACTTGCAATGTCCCGAAGTGAAATGGTAAATTTTCACATCTGTTGAGACCCAACCCTTAAAGGTGATGGTGTTGAGATGGGGCTTCTGGGAGGTGCTTAGTCATGAGGGTGGAGCCTTATCAGAGATCCTGGTGCCTTCCAGCAGGTGAGGACCCAGTAAAAAGGCGCCAGCTCTGGACTGGGAAGAGGGCCCTCATCCTATTGGGCTGCTGCCTTGATCTTGGACGTCCCAGCCTCCAGACTTGTGAGAAATACAGTTCTGTTGTTTCTAAGCTACCAATCTATGGTATTTTGTTATGTCAGCCTGAATGGACTAGGGTACTATCTTCTCTTTCTTTTCCTTCTTCTCTCCTTCCTCTTTATCTATCTATCTATCTACCTATCTATCATCAATCATCTCATCGATCAACAAATACTTACTGAGCACCTACTATCTGCCAGGTCATGGATGAAGTCCAAGGCAAACTTTATGGAGGCCCCAGAGGCCAACGCTTGAATCACCTCCCAGAAGTTATTAGAAATGTGGATCCCAAGCCTCTCTTCCAGGAAGTCTGATTCAGTAGCTACTATTCAAGCAGTGCTTGCAATGCAGGGGGCAGAGTATATAATCTCATCCGATCTTTACAGCATCTACTCCAAGGGCAACGATGACTCTTCCCGCTTCACAGAAGAGGCTCAGAAAAGTTGCATAAATTCCCCCGAGCCTCACAGTCATTAAGCGGTAGGATTCAACCCCAAATCCTTCTGAATCCAAGGCTGGGGTTCATCCAGCATGCTGTTCTTTCCTTAGCCCAAAACTATACCCCAGTTATGGTGCCAGCCCAACAACTGGTAGTGTACCAGTTATGTAGGGTTTCCTTCCTGAGGACTTGACTTAGGTCTGTTTCAGATATTTGTTCTGGTTGGAAGCATTTGGCCCCAAAACCAGTGCCTGCAGGAGGAAGCTGGGTTGGCATTCAAAGCCCTGTGCAGTTTGGCTTCCTCTTACATTACCCCTTGCAGTTCCCCACACTAGGCTGTGGCCCGGCTGGCTGCCCTCCACCTTTTTGGATGCTAACAGGTTGTTATAATCGAGGAAGTTTTCTTTACCTTTCAAAGGCCAGACCCTCCACCCACTCTGGATCCTATTTCCTTACTTTGAAGGACTTTTCTCCTACAGTTATCCTCTATGTTCCTGTGGGGTTAATCTCTCTCTCTCTCTCTCTGTCCAGCATCCCTTCTGCAGGTGAAATGCTCTGAAGTCTCCCATCTTGAAAAACTCCATGAGCCCACAGTTCTCTCCGGCCTTTGCATCATGTCTCTGCTCCTCCTCTCAGCCAGGCTTCTCAAGAGTTCTCGCCGGTGGCTGTCTTATCTGCTAACTTCCCATCCACTCTCCTGCCTCTCCTGAAAATGCGCACATCAAAGTCACCAGTAACTTCCACACTGACAAACTGAAATGCTTTCCTGCTCCCTCTTAAACCATCTGCAGTGCCTGACACAGTAGACTACTCCCTTCCTGATTAAATACTTTTTTTCCTTCCCTTCTAAGTCATCTGAGGATCAACTGCAGATAACAGAATCCACCTGACTAGCTTAGGGACAAGGAGATTTAAGAGAGTCCAGGGCACTGGAAGGGTTAGAGAAGCAGCTGGAGGCTGTCACCCCCCACATCCACTCCACAGAAACACCTTCTAGAACAACACGGAACAACTGGCCTGCCATAGGAGCTGCTGCCTCTGCCAGAGCAGGACGCTGCATGGTCCACACTGCCCCTGTGGCACGCCATGCCAACCGAAGGAATGTTCTGTGCCTGACTCTCAATACTCACAAAACTGGGGACTCCTAGGACCCTCTGCTACAACTGCTGCCAAAAAACCAAATGCCTCTATGGCCACACGTGCCAGGAGGTACACAGCTGCATGCGATCTCCCACCTTCCAAATTCTGAGTTAGTGCAACTGCTCAGAGAAAGCTAGGTGCCATGCAGACCTGGAGCTGGAGGGGAGCGTAGGCAAGACATTTAGCTCCCCAGGTTCTAGCGGGCAACAAGGCCCACTGGGAGGAGGTGAGGACGGAACCGAGTGAGCCACAGCTGCCTGATAATACCTCCTTCTGATTTTCACTCTTGCTCAGAGTCCGGTTCTTCTCAGTCCCTCTGCTCAACTGACTTCTAAATATCGAAATATTGCTATCCTCTCCCAAGTGATCTCTCCCAGTCCGGAGGCTCTAATTTCCATTTTGATGAGTACCATTTTTATGCCTCTGGCCTTGTTTCTCTCTTGAACTCTACTTTGTATGTTCCACTGCTCACCTGTCTAGGCAGCACGTCAAAACAGCAGGCCCCAAACAGAACCTGCGATTTCACCACAAACCTTCCCCATCTCTGTAGATGGCGGTGCCACCCACCGGCCCCACCCAAACACCCAGGAGATGTCCCAATCCCTTGTTTTCTGTTCCTCTCCATGGCTGAGCCTGAGCATGTGCTGTCATTGTATCCTGCACCAGAGAGACTTCCCCTGGCCTCCCTACCCAAGGAAGCTTCCTTCCCCATCCATCTTCCTCTGTCACACCAATCTAATCTGCTCCTTAAAGTCTTGTTAATTGGTGTTTACTAACTCCTTGACTGTCTCCCCCTCTAGAATATAAACTTCATGGAGGCAGGAACATTACCTGTCTTGGTCCCCATTGTCTCTCTAATGCTTAGAGCAGGGCCTGGCCCACAGCTGGTACCCAATAAGTATTTGTCAAATGAGCAAATGAAAGGATAGATGAATGACTACACGATCACTAAGGCCCCTTCCAACCGGAAATTCTAATCCTGTTCAGAATCATTCAAATCCTACCTGTTAATCAGTGTGCAGGCCAAGGCTCTGTCACTCTCAGGAAGACAAGGACAAGATGCCCTTTCCTTCCTCTGTATCAATCAGTTGACACATGTCATATATTTGGGTGCCAGAATTCTAACCACTTTGCCCATATCTTATCTTTTCAGCTAGACCCCCTAGTCCTTGAGGGCACGGCAGCCCCACAATGTAATAGCCACGAGTATGTACAGAGCTGCTGCGGAGCAAGGAGCTAGACGAACAATCTCCCTGAGTCTCACGACAATTTCTTTAGTTCGGGCTAGTTGCTATTGGGTCCCACCGGGCAGAGGAGGCTCAGGAGGTTCAATGATTTACTCAGGGTTACACAGTAAATGGCAGATCTAAGATTCAAATGCTGAAACCCATCTCCTTCGCTTACCTTGGATCTTCTGGGTACGCCAGGTTGGGTACACAGCAGAACATCAATGAAGACTTGTGATATGGAAGAGTGATAGGATGGGGTGGCAGGAAGGACACCGGTGCACAGGGCAGGAGACCCAGTTCAGCCCTGGGCAGCTCTGGCAGGCCCTGCCGCACCCTGGGCCTCAGAGCCCCTTGGCCAAGGGCTCTTCAGTGGATGATTTCTGAAGACTGCAGATTCACGCTGTGGGACCTCAAGCAGCAGCTCCTTGGAGAAAAGAACCTCTTCTTTCTCAGCTGTATCTCCAGTGCTCGCAACAGTACAGGTACCCAATAGGTGCTCAATAAATACTTGATGTATAAATGATTCCCTCAACCCCTCCCTTCATCGTGGTAGGGTGGATGTGATGGAATGAGAATCCAGACTTCTCCAATTTGCAGTTAAAGGGAAGACTGACCAGGGGAATAAGGTGCTGTGTCAGGTGTGCTGGGTTCCAGATGATGGCCTCCAGGAGACTGCTAGGGCCTTGGGAGGTGTGGCCGCCACTAGCCTTTCAGCACCCGAATGAGCTGTTCAAAGTCAAAGGAAGAAGATTCTTTGCCATCCTCCATGTCTCCATTTCTGGTCACTGCAGAAAATACCCCTTTCCGGGCGGATGGCCACTAGCTCTGGCTCCACGGGCAGCGCCATCCATTCTAAACGACTAGGCAGGAAGCAGCTTGGCCGGGTGTCTGGCTTTCATTTCGAGGTCGCGTCCAGAAACTCCAGCTGTATGTGACCCTGAGGTTATGAAGGAAGATCAAAGGTTTCCCCGCAGGCAGGGCTGAAGGCTGCCTTCGGAGTGACCCCGCCTGCGGTCCCGTCTGAGTGGCCATTAAAGGAGAAGGAGGTGGGAGCAGCCTTCTAATTCAGCCTGCAGCTGGCCCTGCCTTCTGGCCAGCCAGCCAACCATCCCAGTGGCCTGGCTCCCTGTTGAGGGGGGAGCCGCAGCACCCCAGGGCTGGGGAAGCTGCTAGGGCTGCTCCTGTCCTAACGCCAAGGCAGGAAGTTCCCTCGGGCCTGGGTGGGGTCTCTGGGGCTCCCTGGAGTCCCCCCAACAGGCTCCTCCCTGCCCCCTTTCACATCCGCCCTCCTCCCCATCCTTCTCTTCTTTGGTTTTTGACTGTGATTTTTCTTGAAGGAAGAAATTATTTTTCCCCAGGAAACTCATTTATAGCAAAATGAGTGAAAGGTCTGGGCATCTGGCCCCGCGTGGGGCTCGTTTTCGGGTTATTACTTCAGCGCCCCTTCATCTGGCTCGCTGGAGCTTGGAACCTCTCCCGGCCGGCATCGCACCTGGTTTCAGCTGCAAGGGAGCGGCCGCCGCTTTTCATCTTCTGGGCCTCTTTGTTATTACTGGAGCCAGATTTTGGCCTGGGACCAGACAAGGGGCCGGGGACGCAGGGAACTAGATCTGGAGACCTTCCCGGAGGCTGGGGCAGAGAGAGGCTCCGTGGAGCTGAGGAATGGCCGGGCTCCTGCCTGGTGTGGGGCTGACCTGCAGGCAGACCAACCAGGTGGAGGATGGAAAGGGGACCTTCTGGCCTTAGGGTCTTAGCTGATTTTAGGCCCATAAGAAAAGGCCTTCTTAGGTCCCTTGTGATAGGGGATTTTAAGCAATTTGGCTTAAGTGAGAGATGCATAGAGATGTGAAAAAGCAAAATGGTTCAGCTCAGAGAACCACATGCTGAAATTCCTGAGCAAGGAGACCCCTTTTTGGGATAGTTTATAGGTTAGCAGTTAATATTTCCTTAAAAGCTGGCTTATTTTTATCTGTCCCTCCCCCACTGCCCAGCACCTCTTTTTCTAATGTAGCTTCGAGGAAAACCAAATTATCCCTTAGCATGCCTAAGAGGATTTCGTCTGTCATATGTTTCGGGATCTTTATGGTGTGCATATCTAGTGAAACCCATTTCCCATAAAAATACCAAGGGAGGGCATTTCTATGGGATTTTAAGCTTATTTAAAATGAATTGCAGATTCGTTTCACTGCACATTCATTGAGGTTTTCTTTTTTTCATTATTAGCAAGAAAAAATGGTGAGGGTCCTGCCAAAAGTCTGAGAGGAGAAAGCGGCTGCTCAGAGTTTCCCGCGGGCAGCAGACATCCGCCGGAGGCATGCAACCCCGGGCTCCTAGGACTCCGGCCTGTCTCAGATTAAGTGGAGCCCTCGGCTGGCCAGAGGGCAGGACTGCTTCCTTCCTGTTTCCCCTCTGTCCCAGGGCACAAATAGCAGCACAAAGAGGACATAAATGGCATTTTTGGGGTCATGAAGAATTAACAGATGGCTGAAAGCAGAGACTGGATGGAAGAAAAACCATATGCCCCAGTGGGAAAGTGGATTGTTTATGGATTGTCCCAAGGCACACGTCACATAGGGCCCCTTAGCTCTGCGCTGAGCGTCTCTAGGAACTTGGGAGGATACTTCCGGGCAGAGAGAAGCTGGTCACTTGTGTTAGATAAATACGGTTACTCTGAAGGTCTTTGTGAGAAGACAGTTATAACTAGGCTTAGTTTCTTTGAATTGCGGAGGCACCAAAGATGTAAGAATCAGTGGGATTTGGTCTTGGTAAGCCTGTGGGTCCTGGAGATGAAAAAGTGCTTGGTGGGCATCCAATCTACTTGCTTATTTTACCCTGGGAACCTGGATGGGGTGAGGGACTTTGCCTAGGTTGAAGAACCAGGGTTAGGGCCTGGCTCTTGACTCCTAGTCAAGAGCGCTCCGTTCCACACTGATGGGATAGGAAAATGACCTCTTGGACTGGCGAGCAGAGTGCAGAGCCTGACTAGAGCTGGTAGATTCTGGGAGAGGCTGAGGAGAAGGATACCCCTTCCCAAGGGGAACTTAGGGTGTGGGGGCTGCCCAAGACAGGTCAGATGGGATGACTGCATTTTTACTTTTTGATAAAACTTTAATTTTTCTGGCTTTTCAATTCCTGAATGTGAATAAAGTGAAGGTTCCTGTGGCCAGGATTCTCACCTGGCCCTGGTCGGCTAGCTCACTACACACGTGTGGCAGTACATGGCTGTTGACTCAATATAAAGACCTTCGCCCAATGCTCTGGGCTGCTGCATGGCTGCCAGAGAACAGAGATGGGAGTGGTGGCAGCGCCAAGGACAGAGACTGAGAAGGCTGTGCAGACAGAGGGGCCCAGAGGCAGAGACTGGCTTGCTGCATGCAGACTCCCTCTGAGTGGATGGGATTCTACTGACTGACCTGCCACTGGGGGAATAAAGTTGGGCATAACCCTTTCACCCCAGGAATGTTCTACTGTCATTTTTGGGTCTCACCGAATCCAATATGAAACTGCCCAGGGCTGAAACCCATTGGCAAGGCACTAGGTTAGGGACCAGCTTTCTTGTTCCTAAGCTATAGAATAAGTGGGCATTTATCACTGGCCAACATGATTATGTGGTCTTTTCTCAGGAGCATGTCAGTTAGTTCTCAGAATTCTGAGACGGTGCTGTCATGGTCACTCTTCTGCAGAGGACACCTGGGGCTTGAAACCGTTCTGTGGTGCCCACCCGCCAACCTCCCCGCTCTGCCTGGGCGGCCACAGTGGCATTGCAGCTCCCCTGCTGTCGCTGTCAGCTCAGAGCCCATGCCCAAAGCACCCTCAAAGTCTGGGTGTTCTTTCCCAGGCATGGTTTCCACAGTAACTGGCTGCAGGACTCTTTGGGAAGGGACAGCTGCATGCAGAACCAGCAGACTCTAGAGTGGCAACTGACAGCGGCTTCTGCTTGCTAGCTCTCAGGGTTTTATTTTTTGATTCTCATTTTGGTTACACAAGTCAAGTAACATTCCAGTCAGCTGTCTATTACACCCCTCAGAGCGGCACGATCAATTAGCACTCACCCAGGTCCCTTCAGGTCAGGGCAGCCTGATTGCCACTCCAGCCTTGCTGCTTATTATAGTAATTATGTCCACCTGGCTGCTGCTACTGATTAAGTTCATCAGCCTTTCTGGAATTCTTGCCCTTCCCACTAGTATTCTGAGGATCCCAGTTCCATGGCAGAATCTGCTACTTTCAACCCTGTCCCACAGAGAAGAGCTGTCACCACCACCGACTTCCGAGAGAAGCTGGTGGCCCCCTTTCCAGTGCTATCTTTATCGCCTATAATGACAGCAGGCACTGGTTGCTTTGGGGAAACAGTTCTGTGCTTTCATATAATACATCCATTTTAACATTCCCAATTTCTAGAGGATTCCATCCCTTCCTCAATTTCATGCCAAACATCACAGCATCTTCACCTTTGGGCCGTAGGCCATCTGTAGGGAAAATGGAAGTTCTCTGGCCAGGATCCTCACCGGACCCTAAACTACGTGGTGATGTAACTGGCCTGCTGCTAGGCTACTGCTTCCACACCTGCAGGCAATAAGCTCACTGTATAAAGAGCTCTGCCCAGTGTTCTGGGTGGAGGCAGAGACCATTGCAGAAGATTGATTTCTCCCATAGGAAGATCTCTTCTGAGTAGAACTGGTTTGAATACAGCTGGAATAACCTCTTCAAGCTTGAAGATTATTATAATTCTATTGCCTGTATCATAATTTTTGTTATTATCTATATGTTGTTATTATCCTCTGTTACTATTGTGGAATCTGGTTACAATGCTCCAGCTTTCTTGTACAGGGACCATTGTGGAAGATTGAGAGCATGTAGATTGTGAGGTGAGAATCCTGGAGGGGTGGAGTATGGGGAAAAATGGAAGTTTCTGATGGTCAGCATCCTCACCTGACCCTAAACTACTTAATGATGTAATTGGCCTACTGCTAGGCTACTGCTTCCACACCCTGGGTGATAAGCTATTACTGAAAGAGTCACTATATAAAGAGCTCTGCCCAGAAGGGCAGAAGGCAGAGTTGAAGGAGGATTACAGACCTGCAGACTGCTGGATACAAATGTGATTCTAGTGCTTGACTTACCACTGGGAGAATAAAGCCAGGTATATACCCTTTTACCCGAGGAACATTCCAATGTCATTTCTTGGTCTCACTGAATCCCTAGAGAACTTGCCCAGGGCTGAAACCCTCAGGCAAGACACTGTCATGTAGTCCAGCCTTCAGAACCCATCAGCAGCATCTTAGGGCTCACTCAAAAGGTCCTGGCCAGGACACTGAACCCCGAGTTATGACCTGCTGCTGTGTCAATATCACAGCTATTCACCCTTACCTCCAGCCAGTCATGGTGAGCCCAAGCACTCTCAAGCCCCACTCCTGCACGTGTGCCCGTGGTTCTTGCAGCGTTGGCCGGCCAGGTGCTGCCCTTCCTCTGATGTGTCAGCCATTTCTTCCCAGAGGAGGAGTGTTTCTCTGCTTGGGCTGTGCTGAGTCCTGAGCCTGGTTATTGGTTTAAGGAAACAAGCAATGATGGGGGAAGATCTTCAGAAGGTCAAGACTCATTCTGGGAGGTCCCTGTCTCAGGTGAGGTTTATGCATGGTCTCCAGGCCCGGGGAGGCCACTCTGCTCTAGCAAAGAGAAGAGAGCTCCTTCTGGCCCTGCGGACTCAGGGGATCAGGGATTCAAAATCTCAGGCTTGTTCACCCAATGTCCTTGATGCATATCTAATAGTCCCACTCTTCCTGTGAAGGCTTTGACTTTGATATGGAAGACTTGTCCTCTTAATAGCACTGCCACCTTTACAATTAGATGTGATACCCGAGTTTTAGCCCAGGACTCCCTGAGAGTGAAAGAGATGGGTGTTTCCACTGAGGCCCTCTGGTGTTCATAGTGAATCTTGAGTTGATTGCTACCTGTTCTGGACCTGTCATTTTCTTTCCACTTCTTTTTTAAAATAAAACTGCTCTTTTAATTTTTAGAGCAGTTTCAGAGTCACAGCAAAGTTGAGGAGAAAGTACAGAGAGTTCCCAAATGCCCTCTACACTTCTATCCCTCCCTGCAGTCTCCTCAACTCTGAATGTCCTGCATTAGGTGGTACATTGGTTATAATCCCTGAGCCTACACTGACCCATCATTGTCCCCCAAAGTCCATAGTTTACATTAGTGTTCACTCTTGCTGTTGTACATTCTACGGGTTTTGACAAATGCACGATGCCATTTTAATATCACACAGAAGAGTTTCATTGACCTAAAAATCTCTGGCCTGCCTATTCATCCCTCTCTTTTCCCTAATCCCTGGCAACCACTTACCTTTTTACAGTTCTCATAGTTTTGTCTTCTCCAGACTGGCATATAGTTGGGATCATACGGTAGGTAGCCTTTTCAGATTGGCTTCTTTCATTTAGTAATTCACATAGAACTTTCCCTCATGTCTTCATCACTTGAATAGTTTTTTTTTTAATGCTGAATAATATTCCGTTGTCTGGATGTTCCGTAGTTTGTTTATCCATTCACCTACTGAAAGACATCTTTGTTGCTTTGAAGTTTTGGCAATTATGCATATTGCTGCTGTATGTCTGTGTGCAAGTTGTTGTGTAGACAGAAGTTTTCAGCTCCTTTTGGTAAACAACAAGGAGTGTGATTCACAGACTGTGGCAAAAGTATGTTTAGTTTAGTAAGAAACCACAAACTGTCTTCCAAAGTGGCCATACCATTCTACATGCCCACCAACAATGACTGAGGGTTCCTGTTGCTCCACATCCTCACTAGCATTTGATGTTGTCAGTGTTCTGATTTTGACTACTTTAATAGATGTACAGTGGTATCTCATTGTTGTTTTAATTTGCGTTTCCCTGATGACATATGATGTGGAGCATCTTTTTACAGGCTTATTTGCATATGTACATCTTCTCTGGTGCGGTGCCTGTTAAGGTCTTTGGCTCATGTTTTAATTGGGTCATTCATTTTCTTATGGTTAAGTCTTTGGAGTTCTTTGTATATTTTGGAAAAATAGCGCTTTATCAGATATGTCTTTTGCAGAACAGAAACTTGAAATTTTAATGAGACCCAGCTGATCAATGCTTTCCTTCATGGATTATTCCTTTGGTGTTGTATCTGAAAAGCTATCACCGTACCCACGGTCATTCATGCGTTCTCCTATGTTATCTTCTAGCTTTGCATTTTACATTTAAGCCTGTGGTCCACTTTGGATTAATTTTTGTGAAAGGTAGAACGTCTGTATTTAGATTCAATTTTTTTTATGTGGATGTCCAATTGTTTCAGCACCATTTGTTGAAAAGACTGTCTTTGTTCCGTTATATTTCCTATGCTCCTTGCCAAAGATCATTTGATTATATTTATGTGGGTCTATTTCTGGGCTCTCTATTCTGTTCCATTGGTCTACCTACCCTTTCGCCAATGCCACACTGTCTTGATTATCATAGCTTTATATTGAGTTTTAAAATCAGATAATGTCAGTCCTTCAATTTTGTTTTAATCCTTCAATATTGATTTGGCTATTCTGTGGTACATCTCCTTTCTAGGGGTTATGAACCCCCACTCAGCACCAGAACCGTTTCCTTATTGCTGTAGGACTACCAAGGGATCCAGCTCCAAATTGCATTCTGGGTGTCTGAGTGCCAATCATCTTAGTGCAGGGATGGCAGGACTAAGCAGGCTAGACTAGATTAGGCCAGTCTTAGGGAAACTATTTCTTTTCCCCATTGCTCTGGGATAGTAGCTGACCTTCTCTGAGTAGGTTCCCTGGTCTCTCTAATTCTCTTTTCTCCCACACATCAGGGCTAGTGCCTCGTTCACCCCATTGCCTTACCACTTTCAGTATTATGTAGACGACAGACCATGGACTTGAAATCAGACAGTCCTGCGTATGAGCCCTAGGCCCATTGAGGGCAAGTCATCTAATGTCTCAGAGCTTTAGTTGCACCATCTGCAAACTGTGGTGGGAATGGGGAATGTCACTTTGTGGGGCTGATACGGAAGCACCTGTTTCAGTGTCTTGCACATAACAGATGCTACATGTGTGAGAGCTTTTACTCTTTCTTTCGTTTTCAACCATTGCGTGCTGCCATTCCTAGAGCCTCCACCTACAGGGATGAATCTTTAGTTTTTAAGGGCTTCTGGAGACTGAAAGTGCTCTGGGATGGAGAGACTTTGGGGATCCTGCAGCCACCCTTCCCTGTCTGTACCATTTTTCAGGATCTTTGTGGCTGTTGGTCATCATGAGCAAAGAACCATTGTCCATAGACTATATCTCAGTGGTTCAGAGCTCT